GGTGACAGCACTCAGGCCAGGGTGTGTGGCCCTCCTGTGTCTCAGCAGTGACCACACCATCAGGCCAGCTTTCATGACCCAGCAATCCTCCCACTGGCACAGGGTCCTGCACTCAGGAGGCCCCACGTGCTTGATCACCGTGCTGAAATTCTGAGTCATATTTGAACAAGTGACCCCACACCTTCATTTTGCATTGGGCCCAGCGAGTTACTCGGCCAGTCCTGCGTGCGATTCCTGCCACCACGACCCGGAGCCCGTGCAGACAAAGGTGAAAACACAGCCTGGGGACAAGCAGCCGGGGCTCCTTCCCGGCACTGCCACTTATGAGTGACAAAGGACTCATGAGGCAAGTGGCCAGACCTCTCCCAGCCAGCTCCCAGCTCGGTGTCACCATTCCACGGCTTCCTCATCTGTTAAGCACAGATTCGCTGAGTGTTTCCAGGCAGGCCATGTGAGAACACGCATGCAGAGCTTTATGCAGTGCCAGCACACAGTAAGCACCCAACAAATGGCAGCTATTGTGGGGGCCGGAGACACAGATGGGGGCTGGAGGCACAGATGGCTCTGGAAAGAGCCGGAGGCTTGGCCTGGGGACCAGATGCCTCACACTCTGGGTCCGGAGATCAGAGAAGGAGCCCCCAAGAGTCCAGCCTGCCTCCATCGCTAACCCACCTGCCCCTCCGTCCACTTCTCCTGCCCCGTCAGCAGGGCCTATGCGTGCTTTCTGGCAATTTTCTGACCATGGCTTGAGCATGACTGTGGAAACTTGGCACAAAACATCTGCTCCTAAATACTCTCTCTCTCTCTCCCCTGTTTTCTAATTTGTGCCAATCACCTCCTCCAGGAAGCCTTCTGTGATAGCCTCGTGCTCCTCTGCCTGACTCCAGGACCAGAGTCGCACTGCAGTTGCTCAAACCTCACATAGCTGTGACTTCCTGCCCTCCCGACCATGGTCTGGAAGCAGATGCCATGTCCCCAGCAGGACACAACCGCCTGACCCTGTGAAATTCTCCCACTGTGTTAGGATGCCTCTTTCTGAACTGTGAGCTCTGTGCAAATCCACTTCTCTGTGCTCGCTTTTCATTTTTGTCAAGGATAGTGGAACGTGCCTGCCCCTTCTCACCTTCTCAGAGTGATGGAAGGTAACTCAGAAAACCAGGCTGAACCTCTCGGAGTCAGGATGCAAGACAGACGTCGGTTACACGCACTCTGTTCTCAGCTACAAGGTAAAGGGAACGTCCCGGGGTCATAGGAAGATCCCTCAGGAACAGAGCCCAGGAGAGCCAGGACCTGAACTCTAGCTCCTGACCCATTGGCTGACCTGACAGGACTTGTTTCTCCGAATTGAGATTCTGAGTGTTGGGGATGGTGCCTGCACAGCCCAGGCTGCATCGAAGGCCGAGCTTTTATGTATCTCCTGATGATTGAAGGGAACTAGAACTGCACCTAAACCAAATGACCACATTCTGGAAATCACGCTTTGCTGTCCTCCTCGCGGTGCTTTCAGCCCGGATCCCTTCCGCCCACCCGCAGTGTGCGCTGGGAGAACAGCGGCAGGCCTCTTCTCTCAAATAACTCTCTAAATGTTTCCATCTAAATGTGAAATAATTCGAGTAGTAGAGTCCCCTCTGGAAGGAGTGAGCTGGTTTCAGCCAAGTGCCTCCCCGCGTTGGATGAGCCTTGGTTTTCATCAGTCACAGTGACGTGTGTGACTATATTCCACACCCAGTAACCCTCTAAGACATTTGATGGAGAGATAATGGGGGGCCCTGAAATGCCTTGTGCCCATTCCGAATGTAATATTACGAATAAACCTTATTGTGTCCTTATTTGGTTCTGTTATCTATTGCCATGTGATAAGCCAGCCCAAAACTCAGCAGCCTAAAACAAGGGCCATTGTCACAGACCTCAGGATTTGGCGGCTCAAGGGCCCGGACAGGGCTCAGCCGGCTGGTTCTTCTGCTCCACATGGCACTGACTGGCATCACCCGGTGGTGTGCAGCCGGCGGCTTGGCGGGGCTGTGACATCTAAGACAGCCTTAGATGACCTGACCTTTCTCACATGTGTAGTATCTTGTCTGAGATGGAGGAAAGGCTGGACTCAGCTGGGTGCCTTCACCTTTCCCTGTAGTCTCGGGGGTTTTGGTCGGGGAAGTGGACTTGTGTGATGGGGGTTCAGGATTCCAAGGGGAAAAGGTGAAGCTGCAAGCCCTCCTGAAGGCTGGGCCGAGACCTTGCAGTGTCATTTCTGAGGTACTCTGTTGGTCAAAGCAGCCAAACGCCAGCCAAAGTGCAGGAGAAGGGGAAACAGACCCCACATCTCCAGGAAGGGGGGCCAAGAATTTGTGATCATGCTTAATCCAGCACAGGGTGACCTGTCAGGGACTCAGAGGCAAAGATATACAGGAAAGGAGCCTGGGGTTTAAAACGCTAAGGAGAGTTGTTTCATATGAAAGTTAAAGTTTCAGGCTGAGCTGAGGTCCCCGAAGAAGGCAATAAAACACGTGAGCCCCGCAGATAGCTGCCCTCGCCCCACCCCACACCCCGATCCCAGGAGTTACCCTCACTGGATCATTCAAAACCCACTCTACCCAAACACCCAGCCGTGTTCTAGGCTCCCCCGCTCCCCAACTCCTAACAGCTCCTGTCCTCTCCTTCTGTCCTAGCGAGTCCGGGCCCTGCGCCCCTTTGGCCGGGCTCTCCCAGGCCTGGTTTCCCTAACCAGTCTCACCACCGTCCGTGTCCGGGGCACTTACTTTGTACCAGGGTCTGTGCTGAGCACTTCGTGCCCATTATTTGACTCCTTGAAACAAGGCTTTTCTCTCATTTTACAGGTGAGGAAACTGAGGCCCAGCGTGACCACGCAATGCACTAAGCGGAAGTGGTCCAGCCTTAGCGTGCAGGCTCAAAGCCTGTGCCGACACCGCCTCACCGCATCCTCCGCGGTCTAAGCGACCCGCCTGGATCCTTAGGCCTGGGTCTTACAGTCTAGACTCCCACAGTCAGTGCGAGGGGCTGGAGGCCCCCCCAACATGCTAATCAGGGGCCGCTTCGGATGGCAAGGGAGGAAATTCGGGGTCCCTAAATCCTTAGAGGAGAGCATGCGAAGAATGTCTCTGTTGGAGTGATAGCCAAGGTTTCTGTCTTGTTTTACGTCATGGTGGGTGGGCCGGTGGTGAGGACAAACGTGTGCGTGACGTCACTGAGATGAAAGCGAACTAACGAAGCAGGAGAATAGCTGTTTAAGCAGCTATAAATGCGCATCAGCTGGGCACCGCCCTCAGCTGGAGGTCAGGCTCTGACGGCCTCAATTCTGTGGAAGGCAGCAGCAAACCCAGAAGTGAAAAACGCCACTGGGCACCGGAAACAGCTGATGGGTCTCTGGAACCAAAGCCAGGTCCTCGGGCCTCCACTGAGACCCTCCCCAGTTCCACCGAACAAAGTGTCTAAGAGGCCGATTGGCTTCGCAGCCCTTGGTTCCTAGGAGGACAGGTGGGGTGTGGGTGAAAGCGATGCTAGCAAGGGACGCATTGTGAGAGCAAAGGGACAGCAAACAACTCAAAAGCAGACCCGGCATTGTGTCAGATGTCACTTCGCTCTGGAAAAGGGGTTGTCATGCCTGTCAGGGTGCCTGGTGGTATTTCAGCCCTTTCACACGCACCATCTCACTTGTCTCCACAGCAGGCCTCAGAAGCAGGCGGCCATGGAGAAAGCAGACGCTCAGAGAGGTTCCCTCGATCACAGATGGCCGAGCAGAGCTGGGAATAAACCCGAACCTTGTGATGTGGACACACGGCCTTTTCCTCCAAACCACGACGCCTCCTTTGTCATAACGATGACCATGAGTCATCAAGAAAAGGTCAGCTTAAATCTAGTAAACTGTTGAAGAAAACAGGGAAGTAGGTAGTACCTTTTTTTTTTTTTTAATTTTTCGTAAAAATGATACAAATAGAGTTTGGCATTTAGGATAAAGTTCAGCTTTCTGTTCTCAGCTACATTCTAAGTTCCAGTCATTTCCTTGTCATGCCTTGTTGCCGTGCAGCACGACAGCATCCGTGCACATCAACTAGGTGTGTTTCCTGAGCTTCTGGCACCAGTCGTGTGTCTCTGTTCTACCATCTTCCTACGGTTCCCTCCTTGTCTCCTGAACGCTCATCCAACTCCCGGGTAGGATTCCTGCCTCCACTTCTGAGCCCTGGAATGTACCCTGCACTCACACGGTTCTGACCCAGCCCACAGGAGAAAGTCCTAGATGTCAGGGGCCAGCAGGGCCTCTGTCCACCATCCAGCCACCAGCCTGCACGGCCCTGCCCTCCTGCAGCGCTACAGGCTGGCAGCTACCAAGTCTCCAGCACGTCCGCTGGCTCTGCTCTTGTTCTGGCCTCACTGTCTTTGTCCGGCCTTCCGCTTGACGACCTCCTGCAGACAGCAGAGCTGTGTCCTGGACACCTCTTCTTGGTATCCCTGCAGTGCCCACCTCCACACCACACGCATCCTCCCTTGCACGGATCAGTCAGGAGGCTCATGTTCAGGGGTAACGAACCCCTCACCTAAAGCAGCCTGAACAGTAGGGGCTTATTGTCTCTTTACAAGAAGTCCAGAAGTAGGTGGTTTCAGTGTCGGCTCTCAGTGAGCAGCTCCACAATTCTCTCGGCCCTTCCCCAGGACGGTCGCAGCATTTCCAAGCTCACATGACAACATCCCAAATCCGGGGAGATAGATGAGTTTGCTAGGGCTTCCATCATGAAGCGCCACAGACTGGGTGTCTTGAACTACAGGACTTTATTTCCTCACACTTTTGGAGGCTGGAAGGCCAAGATCAAGGTGTGTTGGCAGGGTGGGTTTCCCCTGAGGCCTTTCTTCATGGCTAAGATGACCCCCTTCTCCCTATGTCTTCACATTCTCTTCCTTCTGTGTGTGTCTGTGTCCAGATTTCTTCTTCTTTATAAGAACACCAGTCGTGTTGGATTAGCGTCCACCCTGATGGTCTCCGTAAAGACCCCGTCTCCAAATACAGTCACACTCTGAGGGGCTGGGGGCCAGGATTCAGTATGCATTTCAGGGAGGACACAAGTCAGTCTGTAACAGCAAAAGATTCAGGAAGAGCAATTTCTCTTTTCCTGTGAAAACCCTTTCCCAGAATCCTTCAGTAGACTTACAGAGCAGGGCTTGGTAACACGCCCTTTTCTGCTTATGAGGGCGTCTAGGGAAGCAGTTTCACTTATATGGTGGGAAGAGGGCTCTGCCAGCCAGAAAGAAGGGGTTGGGGACGATCACTGGGCAGGCTACCCAATGATCTGTTTCACCCCACTGCATACTGTGGCGTGGCTGCCCACTAATGTGTCTGCCTCTACCCTTAGATTCCCAGCTCTCCGAAGGAGGGGCCAGTGTCCCAGTCATCTGTGTGCCCCTAGTGACTAGCACAGTTGCTGGCACAACCAATATCTATTAAAGGAAGGAAGGAATAGACTTTAATAAACCCAATGAACCTGTTTATGTTATGTATGGTTAACACATTAGACTCAGTTCATACATTTGCCTTGCATTGTCTGTGGTTCACACCTTTAAATAATTGTGGCGCATGCTGGTACTGGAACTGGTCTTACAATCAGAGGAGCCCACGCGCCATGAGCTCACGGTGCATGGTGTCTGGTAGCAGCCGCGTGAAGCGTTACGGAGTAAATAATGGATGAAGGAAGCATCGCAATATTGTAAATGCTTTTAAACATGTCATTCTATAAACTTAAGGCATCATTATGTTTTCTAGAAAAGTGTCTTCCAGAACCGGGCACCCATTCCGCTCTGTTGGTATTTGCAACGGTGATGGGTATGTCGCCTGTTTCTACTGTAATAAGCGTGCTGCTGCTGCACTTGGCCCACAATGCTTAGCGCGATCCCATCTGAGAAATGAAGGTATGTTCCTGGTTCTGAGACTGAGCTGTCTAAATGGTATTTGGTGTTGGATCTGTGGGGTTGCACGACACGAGGCACAGGCCCACACAGAACTGCTGGGTCGCAGCGTGTCGCTTTTGCTCCACAAAGCCCTGTGTCTCTGACCCTCCATGCTCTGCAGATCAGGGGTAAACAAAGTGCCCAGTGAATGGCATCAGCGGTGGGGCTAAGTAACTGATTTGGTGGTGGTTCCCCAAATTCTGGCCACCCCCAATGCTAGAGAGACTCCTGATTGTCATCTAATCTCTACTTCCCTTTCAAGGTGAGAGGACTCAGGGACGTGTGAATTATGTGGAGTAAACGAGGAGCAGAGGAGGCACAGAAGTCAAAGTTGCCACAAGTAGCTGAGTTCCCAGAGGCAGTGTGTTTTGGCACCAGGAGACAAAGTGCAATCGCGAGTTGAGAGTTGCGTCTCCTCTCGCCCTATTTCAGACCCAAGGGACCCACATCTCCCTCGCACAGTTCAAGTAATGAGGTTCAATTAAATCGTTCTGGTTCCATTAGTGATTCAGGGCTTCGGGGGCAGTCTCAAGGCAAAACATTTTCCACACGGAACTAAAGAGAAACTAGCGCTGTTTGGACCCAACTGGCATGTAGGGACAGGAGAGGACTTGGTATGCAGCCAGCATGTGCATAAGCTGGACAAGATGCGCATGTGTGAATGTGTGTGCACGCATGTGTGCATGTGTGCGTGTGTGTGCATGTGTGCATGTGTTTGTGTGTGAGTGTGCACATGTGTGTGTCCATGTGTGCACACGCATGTGTGCGCATGTGTGTGAATGTGTACATGGGTGTGTGCGTGCGTGCACTTCTGCAATTGCCTGTTCTGTGCCCCAGGTGCTTTCCTGACAGCCAGGAGAAGGGGATGCATGCTAGTATGTTTTCCTTCCAAGTGTCGGGTTTTTCTTCTTCTCCCAGGTTTTTGCTGCTGCAATCAAGACCTGTTATTATAATGACAGTGATTTTTTAAATTGTGCCAGAGAACCTGGTCTTAACGCGTTATTATTGTGAGCACATTAGCCAAGCCCATTACAATAATTTATTGCTAAGAGAAAAACATCCTGGCGGTACATGTATCTAGAAGTTCCACCTCCTGAATTGATGCCAAAATATGACAGACTGCCAGTTCCCGACACGTCCACGTGCAGCACAGGACTCCCACCCACCTCTCCCTGCTGCCAAGACCAGGACTCGCTTTCCTTTGATGTCCTCTGCTTTCCAAGTGCTTTAAGTCTCTGCCAGTCTGAGGCACTGAGAACCACACTGCTACTTGAAATCAGTCTCATCACCTGCGACTCTGCTGACTGGCATCCCATCAGCCAAAAGGCGTGATGACCGAGGAGACACGGCGAGACCCTGCCATGACTTCTGCACCATTTAGAAGATACCTGATTGCATTCAAAATAGTTTAACTGGGGCCAGCCATGTGGCGCGATGGTTGGGAACTGGCTTGGGACGCCAGAGGGCCCCGGTTCGGGTCCCACATGTGAGGGCCGGTGGCGCTGCCCTCTACAGCTGAGATGCTGAACAACAGTGCATCCTGGAGCTGGGCTGCCATGGGTTGCCGGCGACGGCGTGGGCTGCAGCCCCTGTGGCAGTGGGTTGCCGTGGGCTGCTGTGTGCGGCTGGCGGCCAGCGTGGGCGGCCGGCCTGGCAGCTGGTCTGCTTCGCCCGGGAGGAGTGCAGTGATGGTGCCAGCTTGGGACAGTGGGGCAGCGTCCTCCACTGCTGGACTGAGGAGCGGAACGCCGGCAACTTGTCTGTTCCCATCCCCCCAATTCCCCAATGGAAATCTTAAAAAAAAATTTTTTTTAAATAGTTTAATGGTGGCCTTTTAACATGTTCTGCAGTGGTGTTTTCCATGGGGAGTCTCTCTATCGACTAATTATACAACAATACATTCTAATAAATCAAGATGATGTTGACAGGCTGGAATGACTAACAGACCAAAACCAACCCAACACGATTGCCGGGGATTGACATAATTAATGTGAAGTTTGGCATTTAGATTTAAGAACTACTTTCCAGAAGAGACCCGGGATAATAGTCGCTGTAAGAAAACCGTGGGGATTTTGACTGTCAACTCAGCAGTGTACTATGGCCTCTGCAACAGTTGGTCCTGACCAAAGTCTTTTTTGAGAGTGACAGCAAGAGCGAGAGCACAAGCACATTGAGGAGGGAGCAGTTTCACTCCATACTTTGATGGCCAGGCTGGGTCTGCGGAGGGCTGTGTATAGTCACTGAAGGCATATTTGAAGAGGAACGGAACTAAGGATGTTTCTTCCAGCAGCTCCTTACGGAAGTCACAAGTAGAGGTGTCAGTGCAACACATTTCAGCTCCGTACAAGGAAGAACTTTCTCCAAATAGGGTGATTGAAACACTGAACTTGGATGAAATCGGGAGAGGCCAAGAAGACTTCTAGGGTATGGTCATTTCCAATCTTTGCCTGGGTGGTAGGTTCTTAAGTACTTCATTATTGTTCTTGAACATGTATATTTTCATATACTCCTGTGGGCATGATACGTTTTACAATGAAAAAACTAGGTTGACTAGGTGTTGAGCAAAGTAGTGATCTCCTCGTCATTGTGACGGGTGAGGACAGGCTGGTGGCACTTGGTGAGAGGATGGGGTAGGTGACCTGTGACATTCATTCCATCTCTGTTTCCACAAGTTCAAAAATGTGTAGGCAATTATTAAAGGAGAGCTTTTCTAAACTATTTGAAGGTGATTGATTGCCTTTTAATTCATTTGATTCAAGGCCTCACTCCATTTATTCACTTACAGCCATCCTGGTGTTTGTTAGACTGTGACCTTCAAGTCTCTGTGACAGTGATTATCATTTTTATTGGCCATTATATAATGAGAAGTAGACAGGCACAGTCTCTTCCCTCTTAGGCAGTCATAAAGAGAATACAGTGAGAGCGGATATGAACAGTGAATAAATACAAGATGGCAAAAAGTTTACGTGGCAAACAGGTCAGGGTTTCAGGTCTTGTAAGAGTGGGGAACACATACAGCGCCTTGAAAAACTCATCCTAGAGAGGCTGAGACTGGGAGAAACTAGCCCTCTGCTCCAATTAAGCTCATCAGGCTTTCTGGAAGCAGTGAGCCTTCAGAAATATATAGATTCTGGCATTTGGACATTTGATTAGGGGAATCTTTCTCCTAGGCTGCCAGGAAAAAGAAAAAAAAAAGACAAATAACTTACGTGTCTATTTCCGCATGTGAACCCTGTTCTCCCGTGTTGTTTTTTGTGGTCTCTCACTACCCTCTCCACGGAGCCCATTTGTCATGGGGGAACCAAGACCTAAAAAGGGAAATGAGAGGAAGGGGTATTTGTGGACCACGATGGACGTGGAATCTGGGACAGTCCTTGAGTTCCCGAGTCACTGCTGAATAAACAGCCAGGTTCCCTGCTCCTTCTGGCTGGGCTGTGACTTTGGACAAAGTTACTTCTGCTTTGGACTCACTTAACCTTTAATCTGGGGATCCCCACTCATGTTACTGACATTAACTCCTCTATCCTCACAACCACCTCGGGTTAATGGGAAAAATAAGCCAAAACATGAGCTACTTGAGTCCAATGTGGTAAAATGCAAATAATATTTAATGGAAGTGTATTCTCTCATAATAATTTATCTTCTCTTTACTCTCGGGGAAACTGAGTCACAAAGAGTAGAAATAAGTTGATTTCGCATACACCCTTCAGTCTTTATCAATAGAAATAATGTTTCAATGCTATAGTATTTTCTTTCTGGAGGTTCGTATCATAGTCATTTTATGGATGAGGAAACTGAGGCATGGAGTGAGTGAAATGTAGCGCCTCAAGGTAGGCCTTACAAAATCGTGCCTAGATGAGAAACTCATGAACCCTAATTCTCCAGGCAAAATTCTTTTTCCACTAGATTCCTACACAAGTTCAAAATATTAAATCTGTTACTCGAGGTTTGTGAAATTTGGTGATAGCTGCTATCAAGTTTAAGTTCTTGATACCAAACACTGTGGGGTCTTGGGCGGTGGCCAGAGTAATTATGACCCTGACCTTTGTAACGGGCTTCAAACTCCGCACGCTCTCCGCAGCCACTATCACCCTGTGTCCTCAAGGACATCAGTAGTGTCCTCCTTTCACAGACGAAGATGAGGAGGCGAGAACTCAGAGGCGTTTGGCGGTTTGTCAGAGAACACAGTTAGCAAAGGGCAGAAGTAGGACCGAAAACCGGGTCTTCTGAGTCCAAGTTCAGTGAGCACACAGTCTGGGGAAAAGACACACCTGCTTTCTACTGGGAGACTTCGAGGAGACTGAGGGAAGTGGGAGAAGCCAGGGCCCATAGCACCGCAGCCCATAGGTTGGCAGAGAAGGGAATTAACATCGGTTGGCATTCGAGATGATGACAGAGAAGTGCTGGGCACTGCAGGGGTCTACAGGCTGCAGGGGTCTAAGACGAACACACGAGAACAAATGTGTACATGACAGTCTCTCTGTGTCAGCTTCTCATTTGGATGATCCTGCTACGAGACGAAAGCATTCATATACGTTCCATCTATGGCTGGGTAAGTTTGGAACATGGAGAATAGATGTGCACAGATGAAAACGGGGGCCGTACAGAAGAGCGAGCCAGGGGACAAACACACACGCCCATCCAGGAAGAGGTTTCTGAAGAAGTAGACCTTCTTTCTCTTTTTTAAATTTCAGAAGCAATGGTGTAAGCTGGAGGGCGAGCTGAGAGTGAGATTTAGAGCAGAAACTTACCTGGGGCATTTGGAACAATTATAAAGATGGGTGGGAAGTGGGGCACAGGGCAGGCGGTGTCAGTGGACAAAGAGGGCTTTGAGCAAGTGGAAATTCAAGAGGGATTACACCCTGTCTTGACTTCTAGACTGTGTCTGTGTTTCCACCCCCATGCTCTCGGAAAGCCCGTGCTCTCCATATTTCCGGAGCAAGAATCTCCAGGTGTGGAAGCGCGTCTGCAGCGGTTGAAGGACACAGTGGAAGGGACCTCGGGGACGCTGGGCAAGGAATCCCGAGCCACCCGAATCTCCCGCATTCTACCAACACAGACGTGCCCAGTGCAAAACTTGTTTGTCTGGACCCACTACTGGGAGGGAACCTCCAGTTTGCTTATCAAGCCCAAGTTGACCTGTTGAGTTTCGGGCCAGTGATTAGATTCTGAGTGTCAAAACTCTGCTGAGCTCTACTGACATATAAACATTTCTCGGTCTGTCAGTTCAGACTCCAGCCAGGTAGAGAGGCCTGTTTATCTGCTAACTGTGTTTACTCGAGTCATCTTTTGAGGACTGTTAATTACTCAGAGAAGCAGCAGCAGAGATCTGCTGGGAGACAGCAGGGAACATGAGCATGCAGAGAGTCCCTGTACTCTGGTTCCCGGCCCTTTGTGAAACACAGGGTCCTTGGAGGGTAAGTGCGGGCTCTAAGCATGACAATTTGAGCCATGAGCCAAAGCCTGGTAATCTCAGCCTTTCAGAAGCTGCTCATCCCTGACCACCCTGGGTTCTCTGAGTTGACAACAATTACTAAGACTTGCATGGGAGGTGTGAGAATGTGAGGGGTTTTATAATGATCCTTATGATTACTATTTTTGCCAACATCTGTTCATCTGTCCTATTGACAACGTGCCGTTCTCTCTTCTAACCACAGTACACGTATGAACACATTTCATACAACCACATGAGTACATCCATCCAGATGAGACGCTGACACAGAGAGGTTAAGCACCTTCACCGAAGTCACACTGCTCGTAGCTGAAGGCACTAGGACCTGACTACAATTTACATCATGCAGCTAAATCCCAGTATTTTCCAAAGACTGTCCAGCCAAACATGGACATTTACACGACACTGTTTTGGGTGCTGTGCGGAAGATACAAAGCTCGTGGTGTTGTTGCAGATTTCGGCGGCCTCTTCCTCGCTCTAAAAATGTCGCTCGTTTTATTCACCTGCATAGTAGGATTTTCTAAGTAGAAAAGACCTCACATCACCAATGCTATTTCTTATCCTGTTTTTAAACAGGGAAGGCAACTTTAGGCCCAGAAGGGCCCAACTTGCTGATTGATTTCCCAACACCTAGAGAAGGGCTAGGAGCAAATCCAACTCGCACAGTCAGCTTTTCTAACAACTTAGAGGGCTTGCGTGTTCTTGGTGGCATTCGGGATGCAGAGGTGTCATCAGAACAACGGTACAAAGCGACGCTCACTGCTTTACCAAGTCCGTCTCCCTTCTTCACTTCGCCACATTTTTATTCGTCACTTGAATTTCACCTTTACCGATCTTGCTTTTTCCTGCCTCTGAGTGAAACGAGGCCAGGACAGCCCTCAGCCATACCGGGCTGGGGACGGGATAAAGCTGAACCGTTCCACAGCCTTTACCGGCGAGCCTTAGAGGGCGCACAGAAATGCTCCAGGCAGCCACTTGTCCTTTCCTGCGCAGGAACAAAAGGTGGAGGGAAGCGGGGAGATGTATCTGAATGACTGCAGGAGACGTGACAATTGCTCAGATGTGGCCACACTGACTCAATGCAGAGGGACGGGGACACGCGGGGACACGCTGGGCCCGGCCCCACCCCACGCGGGAGAAGCTTCGCGGCTGCGCTTCGCAGTGCGTGCAAGGGCCCTTTCTCGGAGCGTGGAGGACGCCCTGGCAGTCCGCGGGGCTCTCGGCCCACGGTGAGGGCCCGCCTCTCCGCGAGGCCGCAGCGGCCGGGGGACGCTGTCTCCCGGCGCCTCGGCCCTTCCCGGGGGACCTGAGACCCGCCTCCCGCTCCCCAAGACGCGCGCTCGCGCTGCGTGCTTCTCACTCAGGGCCCGGGCCCGCCCACCGCGAGCGTGCGTGCGTAACGTGCCCCCGCAGAGTGACGCACGCGCCGCGCCAGGGCGGCTGCGCAGGCTGCGCGGCGGCGGCGGCGGGGGGCGGAGTGCGGGCGGAAGTCGGCGTCCGCGGCCGGGAAAGGGAAGGGAGAGGCGGCTGGGCGCGGCGCGGCGCCCTGCGGGAGGGCGCCGCCCCCTCCCCGCCCCCTCGGCCGAGGATGGAAGTGACGACAGCAGCCGAGGAGGTCACTTCCTGCTGGGCTGGATGAGGAGGAGCCGGAGACGCCGCGGAGGAGACCGGACCGAAGACGGACCGTGCCGGGGTGAGGTGAGTCCCGGCCTCGCCGCCCGGCCCCTGCGGCCGGACCCCCCCGAGCCTCGGCGGGGACGGCAGCCCTGGGATTGGGGCCGCCCCGCGCGGGCCACGTCCCACCCCAGCCGGCCTCACCCCGCGCGGGGGGCGGGGGAAGGAGGGGGCCCCGTGTCTGAGGGGCGACGGGGACCCAGAGCGGCGTTCGTGCCCCGAGGCGAGGGAGGCCGGGAAGCGGGAGGAAAGGCGGCTGTGGGGCCGCGGGCCGCGCCCGGGAGCCGCGGCGCCCGACCGACTGCTCGCCTCACTCTGGGGAGTGGTTGCGATCCCGGGAAGGGCGAGGGCCTTGGGTTTGCAGAGTGGAGATGAGCAGCCCGATCTGGACAGCGTGTGTGTGTGTGTGTGTGTGTGTGTGTGTGTGTGTGTGTCCGTCCCCGCGTGTTCGTGTCCCCGCCCGGCCGTGTCCTCGGAGTGAAGTCGTGAGGCGCTGGCAGAGGCGCCCCCGGGCTCCCGGGAGGGGTCGTTGACGGGGGCAGGCGGGAGCTGGGTGTCAGGAGACAGCCTCCCGGTCGCGCTGGCCGGCGTGGCCGCGGCGTGGACCCCAGGGCCGTGGGGGCGGCAGGGCATTCCCGCGAGGGGATGGCGACCCCGCGGCCGGGGCCGCTTCCTGGAGCGGCGGGGAAGCTCGCGTTTCCCCTCCCTCCCCGTCACGGGAATGGGAGCAGCCCGGGAGGAAGGCCTTGTTATTGGGCATCTCGTGCGTGAGGCTGCGTGTCTGTCCGGGTTTGTGTTTGTTTGCTTTTTCCTTGGGGGTATTTCTCTCCTCCTCCTCCTCCTCCTTTCCGGGTATTTTTACAGACTAAAACCTGCTGGTGTTCTTACTGTGTAGGGTGAGAAAAAAAAATCCAAAGGATCCAGAGGAATCCTAGGTTAGATGAAATTGCCCAGATTAGGAAAGGCACCTACCTGCCCTCCAGACTCCCGCTGATGTGGGTGCTGAGGGCCGGCCCCCCCCCTGGGGAGCAGTGAGGGGACAGCTGCCCTCCTGCCCGCATCTCCCTCTGGCAGTTTCACCCTTCCCTTCTTTTTTGCTCAAGGATTGACGGATACGAAGCTGCTTGCTGCTAGGAACAGGAAATTTATTGAGGAGCTGTAATGTGAACGGAGTGACTGCGGGTCGCAGCCAGACCCCCTCCACTTACTGAGCTGAGGTTCTCAGAAACGCCTGCTTTTTCTCCTTCCTGTTTAAAGGGAGAAAATGTAAAATGTTTTCTCAAAAAAATGTTTGGGCTAGAGTAACCACGTAGGGTGTGTTTACTTCCTGAGCCCCGGGGGTGTTTGTCAAGGAGAAGGGGGCATTTTCTGACGGGGGTTTTCCTTCTCCCATCTCAGGTAATTCACTAAAACGCATCAAAATCAGATGTTCTCTCTGAGTGGCAATCAGACGGGTTGAGATTTTTTTTTTCCCCCTTTCTTCAAACTGGCACATCTGGGTGAACGCTGGCATGTGTGTCTTGGCATGCTCGGCCTGCCTAGTAATAGAAAACCAACTGACCTGTTTGGGCTGCCTTTTTGGACCCATGTCACTGTACCCTTCCTTTCTGAAGGGCTGGTCGGGAGGAAGAAAGCAAATATTAAAGACAGTGTTTACCATTTGTGGCTTAAAGTCAGGTGAGAGATAATTAAGGCCTTTGAAGCTGATGACCTGAGGACCATCATTTGATGACCTAGGGGTTAGCAGTTCAGAGGTGACATGTTTGAAAGAAAGAGGGTCACATAAGGAGGAAAAGCTAAGGAAAGGAAAGTTTGGGGAAAGGCTGTGCTAGAAAACCTTGGGAAGAGAAAAAATAAGAGCACCTTAAGTAATTGCTGTGGCTTGTATCTCTCAGCAGGAGGCTGAAAATGAAAGCAGGCTGTAGCATCGTGGAAAAGCCAGAAGGAGGTGGAGGTGAGCAGTGAATCATCTCTGATGTACTTGGAATGTCCCTCCGTGCGTCCTTTTCTCTGCACTTGGGCTCTGCACAAACGCCAGAGCAGGCTAACAGCCTGTCTGTGGGGTACTGGGGCGACAGTGGCAGGCTTGTGTGCTGTGGACGCGCATCCAAGTCTAGTGACCACGTCCTTGTCCCAAGCTTTAGACTGTTTCCCACCTTGAGGGGAAGGGGTTTTCAGCTGTATTTTCCTAATATGTTAGTTTATCTTTCCTGTTTGTTCCCTTTGGAAAGTTCACGCTTTCATAGAAAGTAGGTGTGATATTTAGTAATGGAGGAAAAGGTGAGAGATGAAGGCACCTGGGTGCTGCTCTCCAACTCTTATCAGATTTGATGATTGCCAGAAAGAAAGCTGACGTCTCTGCGCTTTCCGCTCCCCTTGTAGTCAGCCCCAGCTGACCGAAAGGGTGTGAATGGCATGTTTGCACAGCACTCTAGAGATGGCGCCTTGGGATGTGGAGCCGGGGACACTGGTGCGTGCCCCTGACTGCTTTGGTCTTCCCTCTTCACATTTAAGGGTATCAGTTTCCGGACTGGGCCTATAAAACCGAGTCGTCTCCGGGCTCCCGGCAGATCCAGCTGTGGCACTTCATCCTGGAGCTGCTGCAGAAGGAAGAGTTCCGCCATGTCATCGCCTGGCAGCAGGGAGAGTACGGGGAGTTTGTCATCAAGGATCCAGACGAGGTGGCCCGCCTCTGGGGCCGCAGGAAGTGCAAACCACAGATGAATTACGACAAGCTGAGCCGGGCCCTCAGGTAACAGAAAGGCTTCCCAAATCCATGGTGTTAACAGATTGGAAGGAGACAAAGCGATTGGATAATGTTAGGTAAAGGGGGTATCAGGTGACAAGCCAGTCCTAACGAGGGGTAACGTGTAGTTTTCAGGTGGGAGTAAAAGAGCTATTGAGGCTGAGTAGCGGAGGCATGGGAGGAGAGGGCACGTCTTGGCTTATGTGTAGGAGGAGTCCAACGTGGCTGGCACTGGACCCTGACAGACAGCCCCTCCTGCCCAGTTATGGGTGACAGTGGGTAAAACATGGATTGGAGCTCGTTTGTAACCCAAAAGATTACTTGCAACTTCCCTGTGGGAAATCTATTGGGATTTCTCTTCCTTAATTTCCTGGGAGAAAAAGAAAAGTAGTGAAGCAAACACTTAGGATGAGAACTCCCTGAGAGGAGTGACCTGGCTGTCAGCAGCCATGCCCCTGAGCTCAGCCGTCAGTCCATGGTTCCAACATGTCCAAGGATTGAACTGTAAGTCTCCTCGGGTTCTTTTACCCTTGTCAGACGTCTTTACATTTCCTAAGCCTTAGCCTTCAAGGGACCAGAAGGCAGTTTATAACCTGTGCCACTGAACAGGTGCGAGGCTAAAGGCTCCAGGTGCATTGATGTTCCCAGATGAAACTGTTTCATTCGTAGTAACCCTGGATGTCCAACCTGCAGCAGCTTTGCTAGAGCCTCACATCCCTTTAAGAGGGAAGCAGCCGGCTGCCTGCTGGTTCCCAGCCCAGGCTCTCCCATTGTTTGAGCTGCCACTGTAAGAGAAGGAGTTCCCCATTCCTTCGTGTGTGCCCTCCAGACTAACCACATCAGCTCTCGCAAGAGACTCACCTGCCCCGACCTGGGTAAGCAGGAAAGTGACATGTAGGAACAGAAGGAAAGGCGCTGTAGAATTGAAACTGAAGAGAAACTGAATTTAGAATCTTAAAGTGAGACTGCCTTTGTGAAGCTCTAGCCCAGGACTAGAATGGACTGGAAAATTGAAGGAGAAAAGTAAGCTCCTCTGTCTCCCAACCCTCAGCTGAGGGCACGGCACGAAAGAGTGGTGGTGACATTTGCAAGTAGTACTTGGAGCAATGACTGTTGGTCTTCGGGTCACAGAAGTGTAGCAGGAGGTGTCGGGAGGTGGAAGATGGCCTGACAGACATCCCTGTTTTTGCAGATACTATTACAACAAGAGGATTCTCCATAAAACAAAAGGGAAAAGGTTCACGTACAAATTTAACTTCAACAAGCTGGTGATGCCCAACTACCCGTTCCTCAACATTCGGCCAAGTGGTAAGATGCAGTCTCTGGGTGGGGAAGGAATTTTGATTTGGAAGAGACTTAAGAACCCGAGTCTAAGACTGGCGTGTTTAGGGTGCCTGGGAACCCCAACATCGCATGAGCCTTACATGCCTCCGTCCTTGCTCTGTGTTCCTGTTCACCTCACCCAGGGCGGTAGGCTCGGCGGCATCGGGGATAAATGATTTAGTTGGTCGTTTTGCGTCTGTTCTCTGCCTATTATTTGTAATCTGGATATTTCTGCACTGTCCTCTTAGGAATGGTATCAGTAGGCTTGTGTTGATCTTTAAGTTAGAGTTTTAACTGTCCAGCGTCTTTTTCATAGACGAGAACCTGTTTCTACAAACACTTCCGATTTTCTATGAAACTACCAAACTCCTTTATCAAGTGACTGTCATCAAAACCACAGCATCCTTGATCACAGAAGGGGAGGCTCGTGTGTTTGCAGTGAAAAGCAGTTTCTTTGATCTGCACCAGCAGCTCCTCAGAGAGCAAGACTCTGGGGTGACTGACCTTCTCTCAGGTGCAACAAGGTTTCCCCTTAGGGTCTCGGGTAACAGCTCCTCACGGTGGTTTCAGGCCTGCCCCTCAGTGGTCTCAAGGTGTTGATTGGTTGCTTGGTTGGTTTGTAGATGCAAGTTGTACCCCTGCTCAAGACAGTGGCCTGTGTTAACTCGTTTCTGCCCAGCCATCAGTATGTCTTTCTGGCATTGTACAGCAGGCAAAGAAATCTCATTGTGATGCTGCCGTTTTACAACTTCTCAGAGAAAAGTGGGGGGAACCTGAAAACTTGGCGCGGGGGTGTGGCTGAGAGTCTGGTGCTGAGATCCACTGTAGATACGTAATGACTGCACAACAAGTTAGGGCAGTTTCAGCTCATGCTGCTGCCATTACATTTCTGTCTCCTTCTGGGGCCACCTCCTCCTATCCCTGGGGCATACATTTTAAAAAAAAAAGTGGTATTGGAATGCATCTCTCTAATTACAACCTGTTTTCTTTCCTTGTGCCTGAGGGAGAGGCATTAGGAAATCAAACCTGTTCTAGCCACTGGAATCCCGCTTCCTCTGTTCCCCTCATGCCCCCTCCCTGTACACCTAGAAACACTGGGGCTCTGCGTGGTCATGCGGCAAGGCTGAAGACTGTGCTGGTGCCCATACCCTTCCATACCATTCCCCAAAAAATGCTTCCTTGATCTGTCCTTCGGTCTGTGACCCAGTCTTGTCTGTCAAAACTCCGCAAGTCCAGCCACTTGGACACTTGGACTGGCACACCTTTAGGCCCTGGTTGTAATAAGCTTTTCCTGGCCAAGGAAACCTGTGGAGACCCAGGTCTAGAGACCTTGCAGTTCTGGCCTAGCGCAGCCGCTCCACCCGAGGGCAGTGGGACCGGCACTGATCCTCAGCTAAGCTCAGGATCCTAATGAGAAAATCACGGGGAAGCCGGTGGTGCGTGCACGTCCCCCTGAGCCCACGGCTGGGTGGCTTACTCCTGGGACGGACAGCACCAGGGAACGGGGCTCTGCATTCAGAGACCCTCATCCAGCTCGAGCAAATGTTGTCTCGGGTTAGCTTCTCTGATGACAGAGGAGCTGCCACGTTCACTGAACGTGTGCTTAACAAAGGTACTTTTGCTTAGTGTTTTGTGAATGATCTCATTTAACTCCCCTAGCCCAGAAAAGTATATGTGTCCGTATCATTTTACAAATAACAAAATTAAGGTTGACAGGAAAGTCAGATTGGTCAGGGTGGACGGGGTACAGCTATCTGTGAGCAGCTTCTTGAGAAACAGTCCCTGAGAGATTGAGCTCCTAAGAGCTGGCTCCCTCCCACTGACTACGTCGGCCGTTCTTCCTCTGGATTGGGACTCATTCATCTGTGCAGCAGATGAGATGCTAAGCCCTACAAACCAAACAAAAAAGATGATGGGTGAGCTCTTTCTTTCAAGGAACTTACAGTTTAACCGGAGAGGTAGGATGTGAGGTTAATACAGTTCGGAATGTGGCCTGTGGTAAGCGCTCTGAGAAGTGAGGCTGTGTGGGTTAGGCCCAGGGGCCAGAGGGACCGTGTCTGGGTGGTGGGTTGACAGAGTGGGCTGTTCTGATCTGTGTGTTTTTAAAAAGAGGCAATGCATGCTGGTTGTATTATAATATAGCTGAGTAATACGGCAGTTCGTGGAGTGACGAGGAACATGAATGGTCTCCCTCCCCATAGCCCCCCTTTACCTTAACAGTGTAGGGTACGGAGTACAGAACACTTGGATAGTACTTCTACACACAGAATCTCATTTTTATCATTGAAAGCATCCTGTAAAGTATTGTGTTACATTTATTTTAAATATTTACTTGTAGTTACATAATAATTATGGGAAAGATACTGAAGATACTAGTAAAAGTGGTAGCCTGTAGGGTGTGGGGGCAGGGCAGACCAGTTCAGGGATGGACTTGAGACCTCTCTCTGTGCCTCCCAGCCCCACCCCAAGTTGTTTATATTTATATTTATCTTTATTTTGGAAAACTTTAAACGTACAGAAGAAGAACTGGAAAAAATAGAACATCAAACACCCATAGGGCCTCTCACGATTCACTAGCCATTAACATTGTTGCCACACTTGCTTTATGTCTTCCTGTTTGTATATACTTTTTAAATCATTTGAGAGTAAGCTGCACATCATGACACTTCACCCCTGTGAGCTTCAGCCCGGATCTCCCAGGCACAAGGCCAGTCTCATAACCACAGTGACATTACCACGCCTGGCAAGTTTGACATTGCTCTAATGTTATTATCTAACATGGGGTCCATATTCAAATACTATATATGCCTTTTAAAATTTGGATTTTTGAACCATGATTATGATCTAATAAATTATTTATTTTAGCAAATACCTATATGCATTTTGCTATGTGCTGATACATTCTGAGATCTTGACAAATATTAACTCTCTTAGTTTTAAAAACATGAGATTAGTCCTGTTATTACTCATTTTACAGGCAAGGAAACTGAGGCACAGAAAGGTAAGTTATCCAGAGTCACACAACTAACGAGTGGTGGGGCCAGGCTTTGAACCTAGGCAAAGGCTATATTCTTTCCATTTTGCCAGAGGGGGTCAAAGACCCTTTGGTTACTGGCTATAAGAAAAAGGTGCCAGAACTGGGATTCACACCCAGAGTTTCCAGCCTTACCACTTAGATTTCATGGTGGCGCTGTGAACGCGGTGTTCTTCCACAGCCACACATGTCACTCAAACTTTTAAAGTAGCAAACTTATTTTTTCAGACAAAACCCTAGATTTGCTATGTGGACATCTGGTAGTTGGGCTGCTGCACTTGGAGGGGAGGGTCCAGCTCTGCTCCTGGGTCTCGCCGCCTGGCTCCCTTTGCGAGCCCTTGGAAAACGCTGTGGGCTGCTTCCTTGCAGCTTTGCGGCGTGCCTCAGCCTGTGGGAGGACCGACGTGAGCGTTATCCTTACAACATTCAGGCTTCAGAACACACCGAATTGGGGTTGTCTGCTTTTTCACAGATGGACTGTTAATACAAAAATCAAGATCCAAAGAGTCAAAAAGAGTAGACTTTTAGCCACTGTCAGAGGCTAGAGGGAGCCTGGGACCCCGTGACTCAACTCAAGTCACATACAAGGTCATCCATCTGTTTTTCCTAATTGTGAGGTACCGTCAGTGGCTTTAGGGAAAAAAGTCCTGCAAAACAGTTTTCTGTGGCAAATGAGTTTGGGAGAGGCTGCTCTGTAGTGTCACTCAGTCACCTGTGCCCAGAGTCACCTGTGCCCACCTGTGAGGATGGCTCTGCCATACAGAGAGAAGGCCACTGGTCCGGAGTGCTGCCTAACCCGCCTTTTATGGCTTCTTCTAGTTACCATACTTTCACTTATTTGGATTTTTCTTTTTTTCTTTGCCTTTGTTGCTTCTCCCTTATCTCTGCGTCAGTGTAAAGGACCCTGCTGACATCCTCAGTGATGGGCCGCTGGTATTGCCCAGGAACCCGGAGGCCCTGGGTTCTCCGCTGGCACACCTTTCCCAAGGCCTGTTTACCAGAAGGGCTTTGGGAGGCTGAGAACTTGTGAGCTGCTGGGTTGGCGTGGTTAGCATGGCGCTGGTAGCTAGAGCTTCAGACTTCAGCAGGTGAACTTGGCAGAGGAGTGGGAGGTCCTGGTAGCCTGGCCTTCCAGTGCCTGGAAAGCAGGCTGGGGATGGAGGACTTCATGTAAAATTTGTCAGAGAAATAATAGTCGGTTTGGAGAAATTGAAAAATATTTAAATTTCTGTAAAGTAGTGACTATATATCAGAAATGATAAATGATACACCCTAAGAATTTAGCAAACATCTGGCCTTTTTTTCCATCTGTTTTTGTCCTCAAGATATGCCTTGTTCACATTCATGTATGTTACATGCAGCGTCTTTGGGCTTTTTCTGCATGGCTTTGTGTGCATGTCATTTCCAGCTGTGTCTGCTTGCTTTATAGACATGCCAACGTTAGGAAAAGAAAGAGACTGTTTGCAAAGCTGAGATTGAAAAGGTGACATACACAGTGTTCAGAGTGGCTGAGGAGGAGCTCTTGGGTCCATTCATTCATTCATTCATCCCCTGGTTGCTGAGCGCCTCCTCGTCGCTAAGCTCAGAACGGCTGGGAACCTAGTTGTGAACAATAGGCAGTCCCTCCTCCGTGGGATTTATGTTTCAGACTTCCGATGGTCGTGCATACCCTGAGGACAGCCTGAGCAAGAGCTGGAAAGATGGCGGCTAAATGGAGACGGGGAGGCTGGGCAGTAGTTGCTTGGGGGACAGGCGAAGGGATTGGGCCCCGCTGGAATGTGTTTCCTGTCGCTCCTAAACACCGTGTACTTATTTATTTAACAAAAGGGAAAGTGCTGATAATAAGTGAGCAGACCTCTGAAGTGGCCTTTTGTCCTTTCCACCATCACAGGTGTGGTTCCCCAGAGCGCACCACCAGTGCCAACGGCCTCCTCCCGGTTCCACTTCCCACCTCTGGACACACCCTCTCCAAGTAGTGACGTGCAGCCAGGGCGCTTCTCTGCCAGCTCCCTGGCGGCCTCTGGCCAGGAGCTGAGTAATGGCGCTGAGAGGAAGGCGGAACTCTCGGAGCTGGAGGACGGCGCAGCCGACTGGCGCCGGGGCGTGGATCTCATGGCCTCCCGGAACGCTGTCGGGGGAGGAGGGATTGGCCACCAGAAGCGCAAGCCTGACATCATGCTTCCGCTGTTCACCAGGCCAGGGCTCTACCCTGACCCTCACAGTCCCTTCTCCGTCTCCCCGATCGCTGGCCGAGGAAGTGTCCTGAACGTCCCCATTTCCCCAGCCCTGTCCCTGACTCCCACCATCTTCTCCTACAGCCCGTCTCCAGGCCTGAGCCCCTTCACCAGCAGCAGTTGCTTCTCTTTCAACCCTGAGGAAATGAAACACTACCTTCATTCTCAAGCCTGTTCGGTGTTCAACTACCATCTGAGTCCCCGGACATTCCCGCGTTACCCAGGGCTCATGGTCCCACCACTGCAGTGCCAGATGCTTCCTGAGGAGCCGGCCCAGTTTTCTATCAAGCTGCAGCCCCCACCCGTGGGACGCAAGAACCGGGAGAGGGCAGAGAGCAGCGAGCAGCCGGCGGCTGTCCCTGCTCCCACCGCCACAGCTCCTCTGCCCCCGAGAGTTAAGGTGGAGCCTGCCCCTGAGAAGGACCCTGAGAGTCTGCGGCAGTCGGCCCGAGAGAAGGAGGGACGCTCGCAGGAAGAGGGCACTGTGCCAGGCAGGACCACAGAAGAGGGAAAAGGCGCCGTCTTTGCCCGCCCGGCTGCACCCCCTGTCTGGCCCTCTGCACCTATGAGTGCTCCAAGTGAAGGATCCCTCGAGGTGACTGAAGACAGTGACGACGGGCCTGGCAAGGAGCCCAGTGCACCTGAGAAGAAAGAAGACGCCCTGATGCCCCCCAAGCTTCGGCTGAAGCGGCGCTGGAATGATGACCCTGGAGCCCGAGGGCTGAGCAAGGGTGGCCGGCCCCCATGGGACGCACCGGGGCCACGGGGCTTGGCGACGGCAGCCGCGGACGCTTAGACCCGGAGGTGGGGGGGGGGGTTGTCTGTACTATAATCAGATACATGTATTTATGTAGCAAGATTTCGGGGGGCTTAGACTTGTATTTTTACGTTTGGGGATGGGATGGGGTGTCTTCTGTTGTAAATTAGGTGGGAGATGAACACACTTTTTTCCTGGGGAGTAGGACACGGGAAGGGTATTGACTGAAAGGAGAGACCGCCTCCATTTCTTGTCGAGGCTCATACTTTCTGACTAACTCCCAAAGGGCCGAGACACTGCTGGTCCCGTGGTTGTTCAGGTTCCAGACTTTCTTTTCTATTGTATTTATCCATGGAAAGCCATCAATGAACTTATATTGCTCCGAGAGAGAGAGATACCCAGAAGGGAACAGGCGTGGTTGGGAGGTTGGGCGGCTGAGCAGTGAGAGACCATTGACACGCTGTTTGCCTGAGATGGTTCTTTATAATTGTTTCAGGGGAAGAATATGGTAATCTCAGTCTTACTGGGCGCGGGGTTTCGGAGGTTGCTCTTTGTTTGGCATTTTTCCTTTTCCTCTAAAAAACTGTTTTCAGGAAACACGAAACGTCTGCCAGTTAGAGTGCAGCTGGGAGGCGCGGGCACAGAGCTGGGCTGCGTGGGTGACACGAGCCCCGCTGTGAATCCCTGGACTTTTCGCCTACTTCACCTGTTCAGAAGCCATGAGGAGTTGTACACTCTTGTTCAGGGAAGGAAGAAAGGGCAGGAAGAAGTAACCCAATGCCTTTAAAAGCAAAGCAGACACAAAAATGATCTTTATTTTTTCTTTTCCATCGTGGGTTCGGGGAGCCAAACCGGAGCGTGACTGTGCGCGAGGTCACGGAGAGGCATGACGGCGCTGAAGAGGGCTTTCTGCCGTGTCTGGTTCTCTTATCGTTTTCTTAAGTCAAGCCTTAACAATGGACATACTTAATGTGATACGGGTCTGTCAGCTTGAGCCCATGAAAGGGCGTGGACAACTTTTCAGATAATCCAGGAATGTGGACGAGTGGTTCAGTGCGAGCTGGTATGTAGTCTCCCGGTTTGGTCTGGTGTGCCTGGATGGGCAGTCAAGGGCGGTGGCACCTGGAAACGCAGAAGGTAGCTGGGGGCACAGTGGGTGTTTGTGGGACCTGAAGGGAGAGGTGGGCGGCGCTACAGCAGGCAGCCAGATGCCTGAGCAGGAGGTGAGGCGGTATCTGTCCTGTCGTGCGCTTGCCGTTCTTGCCATACCCGTTCCCCAGGTCATCCCGACTCTCAGGACCGGGGGACTGTTCTGTGTGAGACTCCAGTTTACACAGGAAGTGGTTCTTCATGGGAAATGCCCTTCCATCAACTTCACAGAATGGGAAAGCATTGATCTTATATGAAGCAAAAGGGCCTTGGACTGGGGCAGAGAGAGAAGCTGTGTGTGTGTGTGTGTGTGTGCGTGTGTGTGTGTGCGCGTGTGTGCGCGTGCGTGCGTGCGCGCGCGGTGTGTGGACATACCTAACTAGTTGAGATCGCTGGACATGAGGACAGCAGGGAGGGAAGTGACTCCATATCTGACAGGAGAGGAGTGGGCAGGGGTGCCGTCGGGAATGGAGGAGCTCCTGACTCCACCTTAGCCAAAGCGAGCTCTGTACTGGGAAGCGCTGGAGGGCTGTCCTTGACTGTTGGGGGGCGGGGAGCGGGGAGTCTTCAAACTGAGAAGCCTGCATGAGACAGGGCTCCAGAGAGGTCAGAGCAGTGAGTGAGCGGGTGGCTTGGGATGAGCCGAGTCTTTCATGCGGTTTTTGGCAAGTGTCCTCCCCCTTGTTTAATTCAAAATCCATGACTGACTTGTCTCGGCAAAGGGACTGGGGGAGCAGTCCCTAAGGACTCAGGCTGTCTGTGGTCGGTTGTGTTTTTGTCGGCGTCTTTGTCCGCACCTTGACTTACCTCGACTCAGAAAGCAAGCCCGGGCATGAGGAGGGCTCTCTGCTTGTCACTGCCGATCTGAGCAGGGAGGCTGGCTGGCCACCCTCTGTCCACTAGAGGGGCGGGCCAGCAGATGTCGGTATTAACTCAGGAATAGAAACATGAGGCCTTTAAAATAAGGGAGAGAAATCCACGATGCACCCCCGTAACTCCTAGAACCCAAGTGCCAGAACTAATCCTAGATGCTGCTTCTGTTTGAACAAAAAGTCACTGCTTTCACACTTGAAAAAAAAACACTCGAAAAATGTTCAACTCCGTGAAAAATGTTTTTGGGCTTTAAGAAATTGTTTGGTTTGTAACTGTCCTTTGATTGCCATCTCACCAATAAACTGGTGGTTGCTTTGCACTGCACACTGGGGCGGGGGCCGGGGTGTGGGATGGGTCCTTGAGACGTCCTGGGCTCCAGGGCTGGGAAGTGCGTGTTCTCCCTTCAGCCTTCTCCCGGCAGCCCCTGTCACCACCCTGGCACAAAGCCAGTCTTTTCTCTTCTGTGAGCATCTTGTCACTGTCCAACAGCAGGTGGAAAAAAGGGGGACAAAACCAGATCTATTTTCTCACCCCCATGCTTTCCAAATTTGGCTGTGCCAAATGTTTAAAATTTTGCAACTGTAAATCTTGAAATTTCATTAATCAAGCACTTGTTCATGCGAACAGCTTGCTTTTTGACTGTAGAAAATAGTAGAGATATCTTGAGGGCATTCAGCCTTGCTGAGCTCTTTTTTTTTTTTTAGAGAATGGCTGTGAGTGAAATATAGACAATTCAGCAAGTCTCTTCAGCCCAGTCTTCAGGCCGCACCAGCTCGCTGACATACGGGGGGCCCTGTACGGGCCACGGACCTTTCCGGAGCATTAAAAATATGGCTGACATATCTCACTTCTCTCCAAGCGGGTGGAGTCAGTTGGCTGTTTGTCCCTTGTTTTTTTATTTATTCCATAATTACGTTTCTGCTTTTTGTTTTGTAAACAATAATGAAAATTTAATTTTGTTTAAAAGAGGAACTTTGACCCAGTCTTGCAAGAACAGTTCCATTCTTAGTTTCTCGTTGGAGAAAAAAAGTTACAGTTAATTTGTTCTGAAACATTTAGGCATCCTTTGAGTTACGAAGCTGTGAGGCAGGGACGTGTGAGTGAGACAGTGTGTGTCAGAGGTGACATTAGTCCGCTTCCTTCGCTGAGTCAAGTGTGGGGTGTACATAAGTGGGGTGTACATAAGTGTAAGTAACCTTGACCTCGTGCAGTGCCTTCTAGATGTCCCGCTTTCTATAAAGTCTTCAAATTTTTGCATATATATTATATATATGATGTAATGTTATAGAAATATATGTATAATATACATATTTTTTCCAGGGGTATCTGATAGCTCTGTATTTTGTTATGGAAGTTGAAAGAAAAAAGTATTTTACCTCAGAAATTAAAAGTTAAATAAAAAAAAATACTTTTAAGTGATGTGTGCGGCTGTTGGCTGTTGCCAGATGAAGGGCGCCAGAAACCTGGGACACGGTTAGTTAGGGACATTGTGGCTTCAGGATTGTGTGGAGGACTGGTTGAGACTAAGTGTGCCCCGGACACCGCCTAGCCCATGGGCTACACCATGTGTGGTTCCGTGTATGTGAGGTGTCCAGACAGGCCAACCCACAGAGACACAGCATAGATTGGTGGCTGCCAGGGACAAGGGAGAGAGACCAGCTTGCATGTCAGGTGGACTTGGACATAGCTTTGAGGTAAGGACCCCAGGCATACGGCTCTGCCACCCTCTGCTGGCGACTCTGCACAGAATGGGTGGCGATTACCCAGTTCCTAGGCTAGAGAGGAGTGAGTGATGGCAGCAGCGAGAAGCAGGACAGACGGGCCTCCGGGGGAGCACTGCGTGGGAGGGGCTGTGGCCAAAGGCGACTCCCAGAGCCCACGTAGGCCAGTGAGCAGGAGCGAAGCGTGAGCTACTTCTGCCTTAGAAGGCCCTTCAGACCCTGGTCCTACGCACCCTTCCCGCCCCATCCCGACCACGCACGCATGCACAGCCTACGTGACCGCCGCCCTAATGGCAGGTTTCAGGGCTCACTTCTATGAGCGGGTTCACGTCCCATGATTACCGGCTGAGATAGGTGCCGGTTTTTTGAGGGAACACTGAGTCATGGGCGTTAACTGCTGTGACCAGTACCTGTGCTGCCCCCACTCTGCCTTGGGCCTCTCGTCCTGCTGACCTAGCCTGTCGCACGGCCGGGAACACCACTCTCTCCTCCATTCACCTGTCCGACTGCATCTGATCCTTCAGAGTTCCACTCAGTTCACCACCCCAATGCCTTTGCTGGCATTGCGCTCCACTACAGCCCATGGTCCTTGGCACCGCCTCCCTTCCATCCGAGCACTGCCGGGCCAGCTCAGTCACCGGACCAATGAGCCAAAGGCTGGTGCAGAGCATCTTTGTGCAGTGTCAGAATGTGGCCTGGAGCCTAAGGATGATTCCTGAAAGTTGGATGGATAAAAAGAAGATGGATGGATGCACACATGATAGGTGGATGGAGGATGGATGGATGGATGGATGGATGGATGGATGGATGGATGATGCATGGATGGAGGATGGTGGATGGAGGGTGGATGTTGGATGGTGTATGGTATGGAGAATGGATGGTGGATGATGAATGGAGGATGGATGGTGGATAATGGATGGATGGTGGATGGGTGGAGGATGGATAGTGGATTTTGGATGGTTGATGGATGGTAGATGGAGGATGGATGGTGGTTTGAGGATGGATGGTGGAGGATGAATGGTGGATGGAGGTTGGATGGATGGATGGATGGTGGATGAAGGATGTAGGATGGTTGGTGGATACTGGATGGAAATGGATGGATGGTTGATGCATGTGGATGGAGGATGGATTGTGATGATGGATAGATGGAGGATAGATGCTGGATCATGAATAGAGGGTGGATGGTAGATTGTGGAAGTGGATGATGGGTGGGTGATGAATGGTGGGTGGATGGTGGAAGGTGGGTGCATGGTGAATGGTAAATGGATGGAAGATGGATGGTGGATAAAGAATGGATGGTGGATATATAATGGTGGTGGATGGAGGGTGGATGGAGGATGGATGGAGTATGGTGGATGGATGGAGGATGGAGTATAGAGGATAGATGGTGGATGAATGGTGGATGAATGGTGAATGGACGATGGATAGTGAATGGATATTGTTTGGTAGATGGATGGAGGATGGTTTGTTGATGGAGGATTTAGCGTGGAAGAAGGATGGATGGTGAATGGATGGAAGGTGGATAGAGGATGGAGGATGGTGGAAGGTTGATGGAAAGTGGATGCAGGTTTGATGGTGGATGGAGGATGGATGTTGGATAGATATTAGATGGATAGTGAATGGATGGATGGATGATGAAGGATGTAGGATGGTTGGTGGATACTGGATGGAGATGGATGGTGGATGGTGAATGGAGAATGGAATGATGTTGCAAGGAGGATGGAGGATGGAAAGTGGATGGAGAATGGAACGTGGACGGTGGATGGAGGATGGTGGTGGATTTTGGATGGATGGTGGATTGACGATGGATGGTAAATGGTGGATGGAGTATGGAGGATGGATTCTGGATGAATAGTGGATTTAGGAAGGATGGTAATTGTGGATCGATGGATGATGGAGGGTGGGTGGAGGGTGGCTTGTGGTTTAATGGAGAATGTATGGTGGATGGAGGTTGGATGGATATTGGGTGGAGGTTTGATGGTGGATGGAGAATGGATGGTGGATGGAGGAGGGATGGATGGATGGATGGATGGATGGTGGATGGTGAATGGAGAATGGAGGATGGGTGGTGGACGGAGGATGGGTGGTGTATGCTGGATGGAGAATAAATGATAGATGGTGGATAGAGGATATTTGGTAGATGGAGGATGGATGTGGATGGTGGATGGTAGATCGAGGATAGATAGTGGATGGAGGATGGATGGCGGATGTACGATGATTGGTGGATACTGGATGAAATGGATGTTGGATGGTTGATGCATATGGATGGAAGATGGTTGGTGGATCGAGGATGGATAGTGGATGGAGAATGAATCGTGGGTGGTGGATGGAGGATTGATGGTGGATGGTGGCTGGAGATGAAAGGGCATGGAGGATGGATAGATGGTGGATGGAGGATGGAAGTTAGTTGAATGGAGGATGGATGGTGGATGAATAGAGGATCATAGAGGTTGGATGGATGGTGGAAGAATGGTGGATGGAGGATGGATCATGGATGGAGGATTTAGGGTGGAAGGAGGATGGATAAATATGGATGGAGGATGGAGGATGGTTGGTGGATATTGGATATAAATGGATGGTTGATGGATGGTGGCTGCAGGTTGGATGGTGGATGGAGGATGGATGATGGATGGAGGATGGTTGTTGAATGGATAGTGGATGGAGGCTTGATGGTGGATGGAGGATAGATTGTGGTTGAATGGGGAATGTATGGTTGATGGATGGAGTATGGTGGATGATGAATGGAGGATTTATGATGGATGGTGGATGGAGGATGAATGGTGGATGGATGTTGGATGGATGGATTGACTGTGGATGAAGGATGGATGGTGAAATGAGGATGGATGGTGGATGGATGATGGATGAAGAATGGAGGATGGGTGATGGATGGTGAATGGAGGATGGGTGGTGGATGGAAGATGGATGGTATATGTTGGATGTAGAATAAATGGTGGATGGTGGATAGAGGATATTTGGTAGATGGAGGATGGATGTAGGTAGTGGATGGTAGATCGATAATGGATGGTGGATGTTGGATGGATGGAGGATGGTTGGTCGATACTGGATGGTAATGGATGTTGGTTGGTTGATGCATGTGGATGGAAGATGGTTGGTGGATCATGGATGGATGGTGGATGGAGGAGAGATCGTGGATTGTGGATGGAAGATGGATGGGGGAGGATGGATAGATGGTGGATGGTGGATGGAGGATGGATGGATGGATTGTGGATGGTGGAGGTGGATGGTTGGTGGTGGATGGTGGGTGGAGGGTGAATGGTGGCTGAATGGTAATTGCTTGGTGGATGGAGATTGGATGGTGGATGGTGGATGGTGGATGGATGGTAATTGCTTGGTGGATGGAGAGTGGATGATGGATGGATGGTTGATAGTTTGGTGAATGAAGGATGGATTGTGGATGGAGGCGGGGTGGTTCATAGAGGCTGGATGGTGGTGGAGGTTGGAGGGTGGATGTTAGATGACTAATGGATGGTGATTGATAGATGGTGAATGGAGGCTGGATGGATGGATGGTGGATGAAGGATGTAGGATGGTTAGTGGATACTGGATGGAAATGGATGGTTGATGGTGGATGTGGAATGTGGGTTGTGGGGGGATGGTGAATGGTGAATGGATGATGAGTGGGAGGTGGGTGGAGGATCGATGGTGGTGGAGGATGGATGGTGGATGTAGGATGGATTGTGGTTGAATGGAGAATGGATGGTGGATGGATGGAGTATTGTGGATGATGGATGAAGGATTTATGGTGGATGGTGGATGGATGGTGGGTGGATGATTTAGGGTGGAAGGAGGATGGATGGTAGATGGAGGATGGAGTATGTAAAGTGAATGGAAAGTGGATGGTGAATGGAGTTGCACGGTGGATGGAGGGTGGAGGTGGATGATGGATGGATGGTGAATTGATGGATGGTGGATGGAGTATGGAGGATGGATTGTGGATGACTAGTGGATGCAGGAAGGATG